GGGGACCCAGGAATTAATTTTGGGTGTTGCCCAAAATTTTAAACTCTTAAAAAGACTAAAAAAAACTTATAAATTATAATTGTCATGTACGTGTATACTACTTTCTGGCCCCAAACAATATATAGAACTTCATTATTTCTGATATTGTGACAATTATAATTTCCCTGCCGAGCAGAGTGAGGCAAATTTGTTTTTCTGAAGATGTACAATAATAAACATGTTCAAGCACTGCCAAGCGTAGAAAGCTAGAATTTATCGGACATTATTTCCATTGTCAAACAGATCGAATAAGGCATAGAATAGTTTTCTGAGTTTGCGGTATTATTCCAGGTTATATTTTATAACATATGAGAGTATTTATTATTTTTTATGATGGCCAAGCGGAGCGAGTGTTAACCAATTCTCTGAAACAATGGTAAAAATGTAGGTTTTTGGTTAAAATGTTGATGTTTGTGTCATGCCTTTCATGTGCATGTAGTTTAGGCGAGCATTTTGGCAATTAAATATTAATTTATTTTGTCATAAATATGAATTATGATTTGACTGTTTGTATTTTATTGTGAATTTGTATGCATGCATATGTACAAGGGCAACACCTGTTAAAAAGGATATATATATACATGCCAGGCTTTTATGCTAACACTGGTTATTATTTACCTGATAACATGATGCTAAGGTGGATGCTTTATTGAAATTTTTGAAATTTACATTTTTTTAACAGGTATAATTAATCACTCCTGGTGATCATGTGTACATGAAACCACAGGTGAAAATACAGGTTTATCTATCATAAAATGGACTCTACCTTTGAAATAACAATTAACATATACTGTACACCTAATTCCAACAGATGGTTTTATCCTCTCTTAACGGACAGGGTGATCACCACACCGTGACATTATATTTTAGAACAATATGATGAGGTAGACAAAAACCTATAAGTCCAGATTATTTTTGGACACAGAAAAATGGTGTTGCCTGGGCAACTAGGGCAACACCCCTGGGTCCGCCACTAATTTGTAAGCATATTATAGGTTATTTTGTACTATTATTATTAATTTTTGACAGAACTTCAGGCTGATCCTGTGGTAAATTCTGAAAGATGAGCTGCATATCAGACTTTCTTGTTGATATATATATATAAAAAAGTATATGAGCCTGCCATTCTATGTAAATTTTAAATAAAATAAAAAAGGCGGCCAATTTCAGTTTTGAGGTGTTATTGTCCCATACAGGATTGCCCCTGCTTGCTGTTTAATACATTAATTGTACAACATAGTTTGATATGGTAAATCCACTGTGTGACAGATCTCATGATATGGTACTGGTATGTATGGTAATTAACTCATACAGTTTAGATACTGTAACTGTGTTAATTGCTGTGCAGGTGTTGTCTGAAATTTTCTGGCTCTGAAGAGTCAGTTATTTTTTAGGTATTTCCAACTCTTCTTTATTAGTTATCTTACAGTACCAAGTTCTGTGGAATATTGCCTCCGTCAGATTTGTGTTCTTCTCTGCTGGATCATGATCACAATCTGGTGTTTATATATGTATAATGTTCTGTGTATATATTCCAGATGTGACAAGTTTTAGTCTATCTGTGGATACCTTTACTTAAGTTCCCTCAAGTAAGAAATAGGTTTCCAGTAAGTTTGATCTCCTAGCTATGAATATATAGAGGATATTTAATGGTGTCTTCAGCAAATATATTTCACGAGTGTGGCTTATATTTTGATATTTTTCATGAGCGCGCAGCACGAGTGAAACATCAAAATATTAGCCACACGAGTGAAATAAATTTGTTATTACTTAAGACACCATAAAAAGTTCTATTTATTACATTTTTAAAGCTTAAACCATAAAAAAATGTAATGCATTAAAAAAGGGCAGGAATCAGAAGCGTAATAATTAGCACCATATTCTAATGACGTCACGCTTAACAACAAGGCTGTTTGCCATTTTGAATGGGATACTCAATGCAATTCCGACGTTTTCTGCTATTATCTGGTGTAATTGTTTATGAAAATGTTATCAATTGTATATTCATGTAAATACTTAAGTGTGTGTACCAAACATTTACCATAACAACCACTTATACTACCGTCGCTTTATTTGAATCTGAACAAAAAAATTGTTGCCTTTGAATGCAGCGAATAGAAGATACCGTTATGATTGGTCAATACCAAAAAGTGATATTTTTACAATGTGAAAATAACACTTTTGATATTTGTCACAGTGTGAAAGATATCAGTTTTATCAAGTTGATAGAATCCAATTATTTCACTGGCAAATATGTAATATATATATTTTCTGAATTTCCCTCGGATGAAGATTAAGAAATGGATACAATTAGCTATCCCAGCATTGATGAAAACATGACATTTTGATATTACCTAGGACATGTTGTTTGTAAATTCCACTTCAACTAATTGAACAATGGAATGTATAGTCCAGAGCGGGTGAGAGACCAAAGGGCACCAAACTGCCACATTCCCATACTTTCCAACGTACCCTCCCTATTTAGGATCGAGGGAGACTCCCGTTGTTTGACTCTTAAATTTAGCATTTTCAACATGTGTATATATATATATATATATACACACATTCTATTTATGTTTTAATTTTGAGCATGCAGAATCTCCCCCATGGAAATTTCAAAAAGTTGGCAAGTATATATATATATGTATTCCATTGTTCAGGATTTTAACCAATAAGATTGGCAGAGCCATGATGTTAATAAACCGAATGATTAATAAAAGTTTATGATTTACCAATATTTCTGCGATACCAAGGATGGACTTGAAGCTGAATAATAGGGGCAAATGTGGTAAAAGTTGTATATATATCTAAAGCTGTCATTAGAAAAGAGCCTCAGTTTGAAGTTTATGACGTACGTACATATATACATACACTAATCACAAACGAAGATGAAATTCAGTCTCTTTAAATCTTTATCTAGTGTAGCAGCCATCAATTCCATACTATATACTCAGAAGGTGCCAATGCAGTAAAGTGGGATAGTGTCAAAAATCCCTTGCCAATGTTGGTTCAAGTCCAAAGTTGCTTTATCATGAAAAGGATCGGGGGTCATTTTTACAGGGTACGTCATATGCATCCATGCCAGATTTCCTGGAGACCGATCTGTGAATCTTACATTCACCTTTGTGTCAAAATAAAGGAAGATATTTAATTTAATCACAGGATATTTCACAGTAACCATATTTTATTCCACTCAATTAATGAAAGTACGAAATAATTGTGAAAAAACAACAACTTTATTTTGACTTTGGCCAAGTTCAATTTTTGTGTATTTGCATTGATTCTAATAATTAAAGCACAAAGTTTACAAAACAGAATATCACACAGTTGAGATATGAAACAAGCAGAATAAACTATGAAATTTCCAAATTCAGTGAGACAGGTGATCATGAATATTCACAGCAAGCGTTACTACAGGTCTACTATTGATGTTGAATTTAGCAGACATATATGAAATTGAACTGTTGATTTTGGTAAGTTTGAAAAGATAGAGTTTTCTTTGTTCATTTATATTTGAACTTTCTTAGTCTGAGCAATGTACACTTTCTTAGTCTGAGCAATGTACACTTAATAATTGAATCTGGAAACATGCATTTAACAAGATCTAGAGGACTGAAATAATCAGCTTTGAGAATTAGCAAACTGTCGTTAAGCATTAAAATGAGAGTGTTGATCTAAACATGCACATACATAATACTTAATCAAATGTCTAACGATATTCCTCTCGCATATCAGGGTAAGGTCCAATATAGGTATAATCTATAATTAAATGACTTCATATAGTTCCAGATTATATCATCATGTCACAATAGAGACATTAGATATTCTAAGTCATTGTGGTGGAATTTAAAACTCCTAGAATGACTCAGAAGAGCATTTTCAAATCACCCTGCGTCCGTGGTCCGTCGTCCGTCCGTAAACAATTCTTGTTATCGCTATTTCTCAAGAAGTACCAGAGGGATCTTTCTCAAATTTTATATGCATGTTCCCCTTGGTCCTTAGCTATGCAGGGTAACTTTTGAGACTGATCGGATAAACAACATGGCCGACAGGCAGCCATCTTTGATTTTGATAGCGAAAGTTTGTTATCGCTATTTCTCAAGAAGTACCAGAGGGATCTTTCTCAAATGTTATATGCATGTTTCCCTTGGTCCTTAAATTTGCAGGGTAACTTTTGAGACTGATCGGATAAACAACATGGCCGACAGGCAGCCATCTTGGATTTTGATAGTGAAAGTTTGTTATCGCTATTTCTCAAGAAGTACCAGAGGGATCTTTCTCAAATTTT